AGGAGGAGGAGGAGGAGGAGGGAGGAGGGAGGGAATAGGGAGGGAGAGAGAGAGGAGGGAGCAGGGAGGAGAGAGACTGGGGAGTGAGGAAAGGAGGGGGGAAAAGATGGAGGACAGCGGGGAGAGGAAAAGGGAGAAGAGAGGAGGGAGGAGGGAGGGAGAAGGGAGGAGGTGAGAGGGAGGATGAGAGAAGGGAGGAAGGGGAAGGTAATAGGGAAGAGGAGAGGATGAGGAGAGGGACGGGGAGGAGTGGGGGAGAAGGGATGAAGGGAGATGACGGAAGGAAAAATGAGGAGGGCGGGAGGAGGAGCAGGAGAAAAATGAGGGGAGGGAGGCGGGAGATGATAGGAGAAGGAAAACGAGAGGAGGCAGGAAAGGGGAAGGAGCAGGGAGGCAGGGAGGAAGAGGAGGGAGGAGAAGGAGGAGGAGAGGATGAGGAGAGGAAAAGGAAGAGGAGGAGGCGGAGGAGGAGGTTAGGAGGAGGAGGAAGAGGAGGGGGCAAGAGAGTAGGAGGAGGAGAAAGTCGGAGGAGGATGGGATGAGAGAAAGGAGGGAGGCGGGAGAAAAGGGAGAAGGAGTAGAGGAGGATGGGAGGACAAGGAAGAAGAAAGGAGGGAGGAGGATCGGGGGGGGAGGAGGAGGAGAGGAGGAGGAAGGGGGAGGATGGAAGGAGGAGGACGGAGGAGGAGGAGGAGGAGAGGAGGAGGAGGAGGGGGAGGAGGAGGAGGAGGAAGAGAGGAGGAGGAGGAGGGGGAGCGAGGAGGAGAGGGGAAGGAGGAGGAGGAGGAGGAGGAGGAGAAGGAGGAGGATGAAGACGGGAGGAGGGAGGAGGAGGAGGAGGCGGGAGGAGGTGGAGGAGGGAGGGAGGGAGGAGGGAGGAGGAATCGAGAGGGAGAGGGAGGAGAGGGGGATGAGGGAGGCCAAGGAGGGAGGGAGGAGGAGGAGGAGGAGGAGGAGGAGGAGGAGGAGGAGGGACTAGAACTGCGGGGGATGGAATCAATGCGAGAACATGGCGGCAATACGGTGTAGATTGCGGAGCGCTTGCTCTTCATACTGAATAAAGATATGCGACGGCGCTCGGGCCAAACAGCAGCGACCCCTTCCGATTTGAGTCGGGATTGTGCGGGCGATCGAACAGTTCTGGTGAAGAAGAGAGACCGAAGGAAGAAGGGAATCAGAACTGCCCAACCACCAGCGCATTCTAGACTCGGCAGGGATACATGGTGGGTGACTGACCTGAGGGGCTCGCGACACGGTGGGGCGCGGGCTCACCCTCTGAAAAGGGCGGCTCGCTCGTGTCCTTGAGAGCGGCAAAAGAGGGGCTCACACGTGTGAGTGATGATGGTGTGGGTTTCCTCGTGACCTCGTGACGCATTTTGTGTGATGGAGGTGGCCTCGGGCCACACACGTGGGGTCCGAAAGCCTGTCCCAAGACATAGGCAAAGTGATGGCACCGGGGTCACGTGAACGGCGAGGTGGAGGTACAAAACCTTGACCTGGTAAGTGGGAAAGAAGGCGATGGATGGAGATAGGGGCCGCTGGTGCGGCTGGTGGAGGGCGGCCGAGGCGGCAGCGGGCAGGGACAGGATGGGCGTCGTGAGCGACTTGCGGTACAGTTAACCCGTAACAGACGAATGCGCGGTAAGGATGCCAGGGCCCTGGAGGGCCAAGCTGATGCTTTTCGAACGAGGCTGGCCAGTGAAAGTCGCCAAGGATGGGCCGAAGGGACGAGCATGCATGGGCACCCTTGGGAAAGTTGCCAATCCTTACTATAGGGCTCCCAACTTCGCGCTTCGCGCTGCGCGAAGCGCGAAGTGCGAATAACTTCGCGCTCGCGCGCCGCCTCCCAGGGGAAAAGAGGACGATGAGGAGGAATCGGAGCCGAACCGCGAAGCGCGAATAACTTCGCGCCCTCAAGGGCGCCCTTGTTACTATGCGGGCTGACTGTAGCCAGCCCGACGGGCAGCCCCTCGTGCAGCTGGACACCGGGCGCGACGTGCAGGACGACGAGGTCGAGCGCGGGCGGTCCGGGGCGAGGGCGGCGTCGCGGGCGCGGCCGAGGCGGAGGCAGCGCCGGCCGACGGCGCGGGGCCCGACCACGGCTGGTGCTACTCTTAGGTCGGGCAGGTCCTCCTTCAGGGGGACTTTGGACGAACAACAAAAAAACATACAAACAGCCCGCAGAGTAAGGATGAGCGATAAGGATGCAAGGCCCTTGGACGCCCATTTCGAAGCGTTTCGAGCGGGGCGCGGCCAACGAAAGTGTCCAAGGATGGACCCAGGAAGCAAGGATGCAAGGGATGCCTATCCTTACTCTGCGGGTCGGCTGTACCCCAAAAAAAACCCTAAAATTGTCCAATAACAGTCCAGAGGTCGTCCCCGGACTATCTTTGCTCTTTGACTTTTTTTTGATGACGGCGGCTCCATGTCGCAATGCATGCTGCTTCCCTGCTGCCCTCATTATGCAAATCTGCGAATCTACAGAGACATGGAAATGTAAAAGACAGAGAGAGAGAGAGCGAGAGAGAGAGAGAAAGAGAGCACGCTACCTGTCAAGGTTTAATCTTGACCTTGACAACAGCTCTTGTCTCTAGGTGCTCATATTTGCTCTTTGACTATCTTTGAAACATCCCTCCTGCAGAGGGACACGCCCGACTCAGAGGCGGTGCTGGCCGACGACTCGGGGGCCCGACCACGGCTGGTGTTAGGTGTAAGTCGGGCCTGTCCTCGCACAGGGGGATTTCGGACGAAAAACAAAAAATGCTCAAAAAATCGTCCCCAGGCCATCTTTTGACTACTTTTGGACGCTGCTCCTGTAGAGGGACGGACCCACAGCTGGTGTTAGGTCTAAGTCGGGCCTGCCCTCGCACAGGGGGATTTCGGACGAAAAACACCAAAAAAATCTCAAAGAATCGTCCCCAGGCTATCTTTTGACTACTTTTGGATGTTGGAGGGGGAGGAGGGGGAGGAGGGAGGAAGGGGAGGAGGAAAGGAGAGGAGGAGGAAAGGAGGAGGAGGAGGAGGAGGAGGAGAAGAACGCGGGGACCGTCTCTTCAAAATGAGGACCCAACAGCACAGGTTGGTTGGGAAAAAATGCTCAAAACATCGCCCCCAGGCCATCTTTTGCCTACTGTTGGATGCTCCTCCTGGTAGAGGGACAGGCCCGACTGAGTGTTCGGTCGGGCACCGCGTGGCCGCGAGCCTGTGGCTGCGAGCTGCCCGCGCGGCGCGCGGCGGCCACGC